CTATGTCAATTCTTGGAGTTGATCATTTTTCTTTGTGAGAGAACATTTGTGTTCAAAAGTTTTTGGACAAGATCTTCATGTATGTGCAACTCTTTTTTAGTTTGGTGACCCCTGCTATCCACTCTTCTGGGGTGTTTCCTATACCAGCATTTTGAAAGGCTTGACTGACCTTCTGGAAGTCTTCATGTATGGTTTCCATTTTGGTGCTCAATTTATCGTTTTCAATCTTCAAATGACGTATTTGAGCTTCAAACCTCAGCAAATCTTCTTCTCTCTGGGCGCCCCTACTGATATTCTTACCTTTGAAGAATTTTGGTATTAATCTATCAGGACCCTCGGTTACCAAACTAGGTCGATCATTTACCATAAATTGTAAGGTTCCATGATCCAAAAGACTTTGGACTCGGCGTTTGAAGGCAAGACAATTCTCGATGGTATGTCCTTGAGCTCCGGCATGATATTCACAATGAACGTTGATGTCATACCAATTTGGATACGGAGGTTGGAACGGTTTTATATAATATGGATCCACTTCTCGTGCTTCAAGTAGCTTCTCATACAACTCTTTATATGATATGGGGATAGTATCAAGATGAGAACCACCTTTTGTCTTGGATTGAACCTAAGTTTTAGACATCGGGAACATACCAAACTTTGATGATTTCTGATTACATGATTTCTTCTCTTCTCTGGGAGCTTGTACAGTCGTCACCATTTCTTTGGTATCTCCAGACGATTTGTGAATACGAATGATGACTGTCTGTAATTTCTCAAATTAGTTAAGAATCGAAGTCCCTTGCGTATCTGAAACTGCAGAGTTAGGTTCATTGAGCTCTCTCTCTTTCTGTGCTGGAATCTCTTTTCCTTTGGCCAAAACAGATATTCTATCCATCATCTTGGTCATCTGCTCTCTTATTTCTCGTATCTCCTTTTGCTCTTCAATGGTCATACGATCTTTGGGTGCATAGCTTGCTTCTATCCTCAGGGTTTCCTCAGGATGTCTTTCTGTGGCCGCATCATATTTTGTTTGATCATAAAACTTTTTGTCCATTTACAATTTCTTTCCAATATGATGAACAATCTTTCAAGTAAACACCTTTTGGTTATGCTATGATTATGCAATGCAAACAAAAGAAATGAGAAAGAATAAAATAGTTAGTACCAATTAATGAAAAAAATCTATCTATCAAGGTATAAATCTTAACCTCATGCTTTCTAGTTCCATGCTTTGTTTGGAAAATTTAACCTAACCGCATGATTTTTAGTTCGCAGGCATTTATTCAGAAAAAATAAAAAAATTAAAAAATTAAAAGCTAAAGCTTATTTCTCCTTTGTGTACACCTAAGGACAGAGGTTCAGTACTGTCTTAGATCAGGAGAAGTTCTAAGGTTTATTACATGTAGGGTTTTAGTTCTAGGAGTAAAGGTACTCGAATTGTCCTTATTAGTGCCCCCTTGGGCTGTCAACCCTCAATCCTAGTCCATTACAGATTTAAGTGGATCGAGTTCAATTCGAGGGGATACATTTCTCTATACCTGACACGGAGAATAAATTCTCACGAAGACATAGAGCATATGAACCCCGAAAGTTACTTGCTATGTCTGACACGGAGAATAAATTCTCACGAAGACGTCGCTTTCACTCCCACTTAAAAGGGACAAACTCAATTATAGAGCTTTATGTTATGCAATGCAAGTGTTGTGTGTGAGGAGAAATGTTCAAACTTCTAACAGATAAATAAAATAAAAAATTAATGATAAGTATATGAAAATAGTATGTAATAAAAAATTTTGAAATAAAAGAATTAAAAATTAAATAAATGAATTTTTTTAATTTCTAATTAATAGAGACAATTTATAATTAATTTCAAAGCATGACTGAATCCCCAGCGGAGTCGCCAAGCTGTAATAACCGTTTTTCGTCCGGGCACGAATTTTAAATACTCGGCGGGAAAATAATGTGAATAAATGATTTGGGAGTCGCCATCGGCCTTTTGGGTCAGGTAGGTCGATTACCTAAAAATTATCTTTTAAAAGAGTTTTTTTAAGAAAACATCAGTTAAAAGATAAACTGATCTGCGTTTTAACCAAAAAATCATTCTTTTTAGAAATAAAAAAGGGATTCGTGGTCGGTTACGTTTAGGGAAGGATTAGCACCCCTACAACGCCCAAAATTGGTACTTTATTAATTATAAATTGTCTCTATTATTAGAAAATTAAAAGTTCAAAAATATATTTAATTAATAATTCTGTTATTTCAAATTTATTTTTAAGAAAATCTATTAATTTATATATATAAATAAAATATTTATTTATTTAGAAATATCAGAAAATGACTTCTAGGTACCTTAAGACAGCTCTTTTCTTCGATATTGAAAAATGAATAAATATAAAAACATTTTTCTAAAAATAATAATAATAAATAGATTGATACATATAATTTATAAAAGTAAGTTATTTACTTATTTAGAAATATCATAAAAGGGCTTCTAGGTGCTTTAAGACAACTCTTTTCTTTGATATTAAAAAAAAATATAAAAATATTTTTATAAAAAATAATGATAAATAGATTAATATATATTTATATATGTAAGATATAAATAAATAAATAAATATTACTTAATACATATTTATATGAATTAAATAATTTAACAATAATAATTAATATATTTCAATAAACAAAATTACAATATAAATAAGAGTGGCTAAATAAATAATATTGAAATTATAGTAGCAAAATATAAAAATTAAAAAAAATGAAAAATGACTAAATTATAACATACTAAAATTAAATGATCTAATTCACAATTAATTATGTAATATTGCAGGGGCTAAGCATGTTATTTTACCTATTATACTGCATTGACATTGATATAGGAAGCGTCGAGTGCGCATGATACAAGTGACCGATTGACGAGCAGCAGCCGAGGGAGTTGGAGCTCTGAATTTAGCCACTGTCGACCTTCAAAAAATATTGCCGAATCAGGCGGTGTAAATCACCAAACCTAAATCTCTTCTTCAAATAAGAAGATGAAGTTGGATTTGGATGATTATCTAAAGCCTAACTGTGACGAATCTTTACTCCTCGAACCATGGAACCAACGACTTACGATTGATTCAGGTACGCTTCTAATTTGTAGTCACGTCTTTTAGTTAAAGTCACTTCAGTAATAACTTTGTAATTTATGGTTTAATAAGGGTTACTGTTGAAGGTATTGGTTTAATGTTACTTTGGATGGAAATTATTTATTGTATGTAGTATTGAAGAATGTTAAAGGTGATTTGTTAAGTGAAATTCATTTATTGATCTTTCAATAAATTTCTTGAGTATACCATATTATTTATTAGGGCAATGTATGCTCTCATTAAACTATACTGGAATTGTTGTTTTGATATTAAATTTTTAAAATTATAAAATAATTATTAAATTTATTAAAATTATATAATTATAATTAGGGATGTTATGTTTTGTGGAATTTGTCCCATTTCGCTTCGCATCTAATTGGACGGGATGTTATGGATTTTGTGGGTATTTAATTATTATGTAAGGATTTTTTTTTAACTCGTGTTGAAGTTATATTTTATTTTATTAATTTTTGAAAAAAATTGTGATAGTTAAAAATAATAATTTATTTTTTTATATTCTTTTCATAAAGAATAGTTTATATTTGTTTAATTGAAATTTATAAATATATTATGTAAAGCAGATCACGAGTTGAACATAACAGGGATTGAGTATCGGAATTTACATGAATAAATAAAAATGATGATAATTTTAAATTTTTTATCCACTATTTGATGACAAAAATAAATATTCAATTAATATTAACTATTTTATAACACTTCAAGAAACTCAAAAATTATTTTATTACATCTTTTAAATGTTGAATTCGACTATCTCAATATAATTATATTTTATCATATGTACCCAAATTACAATGTTCTTAAACTTTTGAATATTCTAATTTCATCCTCAAATTATGATTCATTTTAAATTAATCCTTAAAATTTTGAACATTTTAATTTCATTCCTAAACTATAACTTATTTCTAAATTGGTCCATAAACTTTTGAAATATTCCAATTTCATCCCAAATTTATCCAAATATAATTCGCCATAATTTAACCTAAATTTTGTTTTTTAAAGCATATAATAATATAACTTACCTACCGACTTTATTAACAAGGGTGTGATTAAGGTATATGTATAGTTTGAGATGAAATTGGAATGTTCAACAAGTTTGGGGACCAATTAAGAATGGACATAATTTGGAGATGAAATTGAAACGATCAACAGGACAGTCTTAATTTAAGATAAAATTGAAACATCTAAAAGTTTAAGCACCAATTTAAAATAAGGGTCATACTTTCAAGACATATAATGCAATTAACTCTTATAATTAATTAAAACTCTCTTAGTCGATTACTATATTATGCGAGATTGATCCTATTTTATTTAATTTTAAATATAAAACATAAGCAAAATAAAAATAATCATGTTTAACTTCTCAATTAGGATTTGAACGAAGAAAGAAAAGCCTACGTATATACAAACAAGCAGCTTCATATAAACCCATGGTTTAACACTAAACAAAATAAAAGATTACCAACCAAACAACATGAACCCTAAGTCCCACATTTAGGTATATAATTCCAATCTTCATCTCTATAGATATGATTTTGCCTTATGGTGTCGAAGAATGGTCTATCATGCATAATTTCGAACAACCCTTAGATTCGACTCAACAAGCACAGGGGGAAACAATTCAATCAATTTCACCTTCCTCGATGTCATTTACCGGCACCGGAGCACTTTGGGGAGGTTTTTCTTCTTCTTCTTCCTCCTCGTCCGCCTTCATGTATAAACCTAGTTGTTCGAGGGGGTTGCTAATTCCCCGGAGATTGAAACTTCCCAACTCTTTTTGAGAATGACTTGGGCTAGTCTCCTCCATGAATCAGGCAAACTTTCATCGTTGGTTGCCCTAAGCAATCTCTAGGTCTTCCTAAATCGACCGTTCTCATTGATGTCCACTGTCTTCTCCACCTGCAAAGGGCATAGCCTTTTCGTGTCAGCATAACCTATATTGCTCCAACACTTTATCGACACTGAAGTAACCATGTTTGACTTACAAGGACTCCGAATACATTAAAAAACAACAAAATAACTGAATAAACCCATGAAGAATACCTATATCCAACACTTACACCCGATCAGATAACGTAAGACTGACAACATGGCACCACCTCAGCTTATACATAGTACGATATCTTCATTTACCTTTAAAAGAGCCTGCCGTGCGGCTTCTCTCTCCAGCTCCCTCTTCCTTTTGGCTTGAACAGCAGCTTCAGCTTCAGCTTTTTTCTTTGCCTCTTCCGCAGCTTTGGCCTCCGCTTGCAGTCGTGCTTTTTCTGATATCAAAGTAAAGGGATCATATGGGTGTGTTTTTTTGCCCCGGTGGGGGTGTGGAGAACCTATTTCCAAATGAACATTAATCCAGTAAAAAATCAACATTACGTAAGCCTAACCTTCTCTCTGCCGCCTTTCAAGTTCCTCCCTCTCCATCTGCAGTTTCACCGGATCCCTTTCACACCCTGTGCTCAACCACGTAATATATATATACATATGTTAATGTGAGTCTTTGACCATAGTGCACCTACATGCATAAGGCTACCGTACTAACCTTTTCAAGTGCCTTTTCTCGAGCTTTAAGTATGGTGTCAACAAAACGTTTCCTCACAAGAGCCACATGATAGAGCTTTTCGGGGAGACTTGCCTCTCAGATGGAGCACTCTCCTCTATAATTTTACAGCATTTGGTGAGATGAGCCCCAACAGTAACACTACAGCCTTTTAATAATTATGCTTACCCTCTGTTGGTTCTACCTCAATAGCACCAGGCTTATCATGAGAGTTTAACTCAACTTGACCAAACTCGTTTAACGCTCTGCACAAA